TTAATCTTTGAAGACGGCACCTTCTTCCATCTCTCTTCCTCCTCCTCTGAAGCAATTTCCTCAGCTGTGATCTGTTGCTATTGCAGATGACAGGGTCAGCCTCAAACCCTTCAAAATCCTTCTTTTGGACACAATCTAGCCACAATTTTCTCCAAGCCGAGTTCATCGTCCTGGAATTCACTCTCTGCCAAGCCTTATCTATAAGGCCTATGGAGTGGAAGATATTGAAGTGATTCTTCCATAACTCTCTTAGGGTCAATTCAGAGTCCAAGGTTATGTCAAAGCACCTTTGAAATACATGTATTGCTTTGGTGTACAGTTTTTTTTGTAATGATCTGCTGGTTCAAGGGGTAGAGGAGAGTAGTGGTGTTAGGAGGCAAAAATTTCACTGCTACAAAACTGAATTCCTTAGACAATTGGTCTTCAGAGTCTGGAGGATGAGTAGGAGCATTGTCCATTAACCCTTTTAGGGTTGGTGTCGTACTAGTACAGCTTGCACGCCAGGGTTGGTGATGTACTAGTACGCGTAAATTATAGCGCCTTCAAATCTAGCGAGAGAAAGCTGGTAGGCCTACATATGAAAGAATGGGTGTATGTGGTCAGTGTGCACAGTATAAAAAAATCCTGCAGTACACAGTGCATAATGAGAGGAAAAAAACTCCGACTGTGTTTTTGGTTTAAAACAGGGATTTTGCACTGTATTTTCGTATGGTATTTATGGTTGTATTCTAGTTTTCCTGGTCTCATTTTATAAAATGGAAGACATATTACAGAAATTGAGATGATTTTGATTGGTTTCACAATGAAAAGTACCTTGAAATTGAGCTCAAAATAGCAGAAATGTTCGATTTTTGCCAAAGTTCAAAAGTAAACAAATCACGCCATGCATCCAATACACATCAACTGGCGAGTCTAATATTCCTTCACAAGTGCGCTGATATTATTTATATCATTTCTACGCTAATGCAGTAGTCTGCATAACAGTAAATCTATTTTTTGTGGGAATAAAAATTCAAAGTGGAATGCAAGAGATGTAAGAGGGGCCTGGGGATGTGGCTAATGAACAGAGGAAATGTCATTTTAGTGCCAGAAATGTGTCTTGTTTATTCTAGACCCTATTTGGAAATTGGCATCTTTTGAAATTTGAGTGAAACTAGCAAAATTGCTAATTTCTGACCACTTTATTGGATAGTTGAAATTAGTAAATGGGTGGTTTCTTGTACTCATTAAATAGAAAAAATGGAGTTCTAGCGAAATAGTTATGATTTTTGTCGACTAGTACACTGAAATTGGCCAAAATAGGGCTCAAAGTTGTCGAAATTGCCGATGCGTAAACATCATCGAGACCGCTAACTTCGCAAAAGCATAATTCTGTAAGTTTTCCATCAAATTTCATACTTTTGGTGTCATTATGATCGGGAAAAGATTCTCTATCTTTTCATAGGAAAAAATAATTTTTTTTCTGAAAAATTTTCAACCCTGAGAACAAGTTTAGGAGAGGGCCTCTCGACCCTGAAAGGGTTAAAGGTTGGATGATCTTGGGTGTTGATGCAGCTTCATTAGTGTTGATTGTGGCAGTGGAGTGCTCAGGTATTCTGTCATGTGCTGCTGGTTTGTTTTACCCTGCAGTTGTTTATGCACCGCATTACACATTCTTAACCAGTTCAACTATCCATCACTAAATGTGCACCTGTTTCCAGGCTGTCCTTCTTCACACACTGTTTTATAGTATGATTAGCGTTTTGTCCTAATAAGGCTATCAAGTGGAACACCTTTCTTCGTTAACTTTTCAGTCTGCACGTTTAGTAAACTAGAAAGTTATTTAGCTGTCACATTTAGTAAACTAGAAAGTTTTATTTAGCTGTCACACTGAGAATTACTCATTGCACAAACCTTTATCTTTATCTCATTACCTCGAATTCAATAAATCAATAATTCTCCATTATTTGTGCAGTATCTCAGTTACCTCAAATTTTTTAAATAGGCATAGTTTCATGCTTAATTGCCTTCCTTGCTTCACCAGTGTCACCTGCAGTTTGGATATCATAATAAATGTCCAGATGAGATGGGGTCATGAAAAGGAAATGAATTCCGCTCCTATAATAATGAAATATAATACTGAAAATGCAAGCTATGATTGTGTGGCTTAAGTTTTCTAGCATACATCATTAATGAAAAATGTGCCAAAACCATTCAGGTCATCAAGCTATCAAACTTATCAAAATATTTTATTTTTTCATATACAGCAGAACCCCTGCATCCACTGATTCAGTATCCATGGTTTACTGTGACCCAGAAATACCTGTTAATTTTGCAAAATAATGACTCCAAAGCACAGAAGTAGAGAAGCTGGCAGTTCTTCAAAGCTTAAGAGAAGCCGTGAAGTGCTTCCCATTATTGAAAAGGTGATAATTCTCCACTTGTTGTCCATAATTTTTCAAATGTTGAAAAAACGTAAATCTACGTTTGGACAGTTTAAGGGTTAAAATATTAAAAATAAAACTGTTTATACCTTTTACAATTTTATTGTAATTTATAATTACATGTCATGATACATACAATGATTCTTATGAACATGGTCCTAAGCAAATATTTCTGGAATAGTCTATAAATATAGCCTATAAATAATAGCTCACAGCTTTACCAATAATCTGGAGACAAGCTCAGTATATCATCTCACTCTTAAGAACACTCTCATATGACTTCATGAACACTTTCATATGACTTCTTTTGCATATAATGTTAGAGATTCAAGCATGACTGATTATGTTAACCTCAAAGAAACTTAAATTCTTACAGAGAATTGTTTAATAATTTCTTTAAGAATTATTATTATAATTTTCCTAGACAAATCAAATAGTTCTATTAGTTTTCCTATACATTAAATTACACTCATATAGTGCATACACTCATAAAGTGCATACAATCATACAGTGCATACACTCATACAGTGCATACACTCATACAGTGCATACACTCAAAGTGCATACACTCATACAGTGCATACACTCATAAAGTGCATACAATCATACAGTGCATACACTCATACAGTGCATACACTCATAAAGTGCATACACTCATACAGTGCATACACTCATAAAGTGCATACAATCATACAGTGCATACACTCATACAGTGCATACACTCATAAAGTGCATACAATCATACAGTGCATACACTCATACAGTGCATACACTCATAAAGTGCATACACTCATACAGTGCATACACTCATAAAGTGCATACAATCATACAGTGCATACACTCATAAAGTGCATACAATCATACAGTGCATACACTCATAAAGTGCAATCATACAGTGCATACACTCATAAAGTGCATACAAATATACAGTGCATACACTCATAAAAGTGCATACAATCATACAGTGCATACACTCACACAGTGTATACACTCATGCAATGCCTGGTGGAATAGAAGGTAATCAGGTCTGATTTAAGGACAGGGAGATTGGGTCCACTTCCTTTGATCAAGAGGGAGTCACTGTATCAAGGAACCTCCTTCTAGGGCCCTAAAGAAAACAAGCCTTAAAAGTACAGCATTACAAAAATACTCTAATATAACATACTGTTGTAACACATTCCAACTGAACACTCATCTCTATAAATCACTATTCTGTGTGTGTGTGTGTGTGTGTGTGTGTGTGTGTGTGTGTGTGTGTGTGTGTGTGTGTGTGTGCACGTGCATGTATGTATGTGCGCATGTGTATATGTACTCACCTAGTTGTGGTTGCAGGTGTCGAGTCATAGCTCCTGGCCCTGCCTCTGCACTGGTTGCTACTAGGTTGCTCTTCCTGCTCCATGACCTTTCATCACACCTCTTCTTAAACCTATGTATGGATCCTGCCTCCACTACATCACTTCCCAGAATGTGTGTGTGTGTGTGTGTACTCACCTAGTTGAGGTTGCAGGGGTCGAGTCCATGCTCCTGGCCCCGCCTCTTCACTGATCGCTACTAGGTCACTCTCCCTGAACCGTGAGCTTTATCATACCTCTGCTTAAAGCTATGTATGGATCCTGCCTCCACTACATCGCTTCCCAAACTATTCCACTTGCTGACTACTCTGTGGCTGAAGAAATACTTCCTAACATCCGTGTGATTCATCTGTGTCTTCAACTTCCAACTGTGTCCCTTTGTTGCTGTGTCCCATCTCTGGAACATCCTGTCTTTGTGTGTGTGTGTGTGTGTGTGTGTGTGTGCGCATGCACATGTGTATGTGCATGTGTATGCACATGTGTGTACATGTGTGTGTGCATGTGTATGCACATTTGTGCAGGTGTACATATGTGTGTGCATGTATATGCACATGTATGTGTGTACATGCGTGTGTGCATGTGTGTGTGCATGTGTGTGTGTGCCTGTGTGTATGCATGTGTGTGCACATGTGTGCATATGTGTGTGCATGTGCATATGTGTGCATGTATGTGTATGCATATATGTATGTGTGTGTGTGTGTGTGTGCATATGTGTATATATGATTGCATGTATATATGTACCTGTATATATTTTTTAACACACCAGCCATCTCCCACCTAGGCAGGTTGACCCAGAAAAGAATGAACAGTTTCATAAAGTTTTTCTTCTTTCTACATTTAGTAATTTATACAAGAAAACAAGTTACTAGCCCCTTGTTCCCAGGATTTTAGTCTCCTTTTACAATATGCATGGCTTATGGAAGGATTCTTTTTCACTTCTTCATGAGATGTATATGTATGTGCATGCATGCATGTGTGTGTGTGGTTGTGTGTGTGTGTGTGTGTGTGTGTTAGTTAGTTAGTTACCATTTTGTCCAAGGCACATGTCGATTAGACACTAGGCCTGTTGTGTGTGTAGGTGTGTGTGTGTGTGTGTGTAGGTGTGTGTGTGTGTGTGTGTGTAGGTGTGTGTGTGTGTGTAGGTGTGTGTGTGTGTGTGTGTAGGTGTGTGTGTGTAGGTGTGTGTGTGTGTGTAGGTGTGTGTGTGTAGGTGTGTGTGTATGAGTGTGTGTATGAGTGTGTGTATGAGTGTGTGTGTGTGTGTGTGTGTGTGTGTGTGTGTGTGTGTGTGTGTGTGTGTGTGTGTGTGTGTGTGTGTGTGTGTGTGTGTGTGTACGTGTACATATATCCTCTCCTCACTTAACGACAGAGTTCCATCCCTAAGACCACGTCATTAAACGAATTCATCGTTAAGTGAGGAGCATACTACAATGGTAGTAGGTTTGTGTCAACCATCCTTGATATTGTTTTAATGGCACCTTTGCACCATTTATAACATTTCTGGTATATTTTTAAATGTTTATACAGTAGTTTACTGTATATTGTAATAAACAGAATAGAGGAAATTAGCTCTAATATACATTATTTAGTTATGCATTCTGGTCAAAGAGCCCGTAGCAAGTCTGAGTACGTCACTAAGTGAGGAGATGCTGGCTCTGTGTGTGTGTGTGTGTGTGTACTCACCTAATTGTGGTTGCAGGGGTCAAGACTCAGCTCCTGGCCCCGCCTCTTCACTGATCGCTACTAGGTCATCTCTCTCTCTGCTTCCTGAGCGTTGTCATACCTTGTCTTAAAGCTATGTGTGGTCCCTGCCTCCACTACATCACTTGCTAGGCTATTCCACTTCCTGACAACTCTATGACTGAAGAAATACTTCCTAACATCCCTCTGACTCGTCTGAGTCTTCAGCTTCCAATTGTGACCCCTTGTTTCTGTGTCCCCTCTCTGGAACAACCTGTCTCTGTCTACCTTATCTATTCCACGCAGTATTTTATATGTCGTTATCATGTCTCCCCTGACCCTCCTGTCCTCCAATGTCGTCAGTCCGATTTCCCTCAACCTTTCTTCGTAGGATGTGTGTGTGTGTATGTGTGTACTCACCTAGTTGTACTCACCTAGTTGAGGTTGCGGGGGTCGAGTCCTAGCTCCTGGCCCCGCCTCTTCACCGTTCACTACCAGGTCACTCTCCCAGAACCGTGAGCTTTATCATACCTCTGCTTATGTACTGCTTATATGTGTGTGTGTGTGTGTGTGTGTACACACACTGGCTGTCTCCCACCGACACAGGGTGGAACAAAAGAGGATAGACTGGAGGATGTATAAATCTGTAGTGGAGGGACTGCAGGGTAAGGGTCATCCTAGGAAAGATCGAAGGGAGGAAGAAAAGATTTTTGTGTTTGAGGGGCTGAGATATCCAGCAAGTGTGTCTGAGTGTGTTAAACAGGAGTGATTTTTATGGCTTGACATGCTGTTGGAGTATGAGCAAGGTAACATTTATGAAAAGATTCAGGGAAACCAGTTAGCTGGACTTGAGTCCTGGAGGTGGGAAGTACAGTGCTTGCACTTTAAAGGAGGGGTGAGAATATTTGCTGTTTGGAGGGACACCTGAACTGTTGTACCTATGTGCCTCTCTGACAATTCAGTGATAGTATGAATGATACTGAAAGTGTTTCATTTTTGGGTCGCCCTACCTTAGTGGGAGATGGCCAGTGCTAAAAAAATATATTATTAACATATAGGCCGTTTGCCACCAAGGCAGGGTGACCCAAAAAAGAAGAATCACTTTCATTATCATTCACTCAATCACTATCTTGCCACAGGCATGTCTACACTACAATTTTAAAACTGCCACTTATCAACACCCCTTCCTTCAGAGTGCAGGCACTATACTTCCCACCTCTAGGACTCAAGTCTGGCTTGTCAATTTCCCTGAATGCCATAATAAATGTTACCTTGCTCGCACTCCAACAGCACATCAAGTCATAAAAACCATTTGTCTCCACTCGCTCCTATCTAACACGCTTATGCATGCTTGCTGGAAGTCCAAGCATATACATAACAAATTCTAACTATTGTGTTAACACAAATTCAGACACACTTGCATCACCAACAACAACATTGCAATCCTACTCATCAATGATGTCATGAAATAAACTGTTATTTTAAATTCCTGCTGTTCTCCAAAATTACCAAAGAGCTATTACCATCAAAGCTTCCCATGCATAATCCATGATGCTAATGCCATGATAAAACTTTATACATACGTTTACATGTGCCTTAAGGCATGTTAAAAACTCAATACTGTATTAATATCTAAAATAAACGATTCAGCTATAGAAAAGGTTCTGAGCACCAAAGCTGAAACTGTCATTCTTATTTCAGTACATGCAACTTACAATACACAAAATGTACATGAAAAGGATTATAGTAGAATTTTAATGTATGTGAGAATAAATGCCAGAAATTGTTCTGTTGTGACAATTATGTAAGTCAAATTTGAACCCCTCTTATTAGGACTCTATAACTTTAAATATGACGAATTCCCAATTGTACTGAAAATTAACCTCCATAATAATCAATATTTTTTAAAAACTTTATTATGTTAATTACTGTTAACAGGCACCAAACTGGATATTAAACATTTCTATGAATTTTCTTGTTAATTATATATACATATTAAAATTAAATTTTTAACTTGGAACCAAAATATAATAATTTTTACACATCAACTGATGCATTTTGCGAGTCATGATATCTATACTAATCATGGATACTTAGCACAAACATTAAGTAGATACACTACTTGGCAACTGCTGATTCACTGATACTGTCGAGGATACCACATCTGCACACCATCTCGAGTGATTAACTGGTGAGTAACCTGGGCTTGAGGATCGTGTGAAACTATCTGGATTGGAACATCAGAGTGTAATGTAACTAACTGGACACCACCTGCTGCTTCCACAGCTGCTGCTTGCTGTTCAGCTTCTTCTTGAGAAACAATAGTCAATGCTGTAGCATCCTCAATGTGAATTTCATGTGTAGCATGATGCAGGTGCTCATGTTGTAAGTGATGGTGGTGGTGTAATTCCTGATGATGTTGTAACTCATGTGGGTAATCATCATCAACTGCAAGCTTTTCATCAATTTTTTCAATTTTTTCAATTTTTAATGGGTCTAGGTTAGCTTCTGGAATATAAACTGTATTGTCATCCTCCTCTTCACCCAAAGCTAAAACAGCACCCTCTTCTGCCTCAAGCTCAGCGTCAAAATCCTCTTCATCCTCATAATCTTCCTCTTTAATATATTTCCTAGGTCTTCCCCGTTTACCCCAACGACCTCGTTTCCGAGGCCTTCCACGGGGTCTGCCTTTTCTTTTCTGTACATACTTACGGCCACTGCCAGGTTTCGGGCCCGGCTTCTTAGCATCAGGGCGGCGAGGAGCACGTGGTTTCTTTGACACTTCTTTGCCACAATATTTCTCTTTGTGCACAGTCAAACTCTCCTTATATTTGAAAGCCTTTTCACAAGAATCACACTTAAATGGACGTGCTTTAGAGTGCACTTTCATGTGCTTATCTAATGCTGAGCTAAAGAAGAAAGCTTTGTTACATTTCTCACACTGGTAAGGCTTTTGACCAGTGTGCTTTTTCTTGTGCGTTGATAATGATGATGAATGTGTGAAAGCTGCATCACATAGATCACACTTCCAGGGCTTTTCACCCGTGTGAACTCTAAAGTGATTCTTTAGTTGCTGCGCAGTAATGAAGGCATGGTTACATTCTTGGCAAACATATGGTTTCTCGCCAGTATGAGTTCTCATGTGAGCTGGTAAATGAGAAGAGCGTGCAAAAGTTTTACCACATATACCACACATATAAGGGCGTTCTCCTGTGTGAAGTCGCTTGTGCATGCGCAAATTGGAACGTTGTGCAAAAGCTAGACCACATTCACCACACACAAAAGGTCTTTCTCCTGTATGAGTACGTATGTGATCCCGGAGAGTTGCATTACATGATACTGTCTTACCACATTCAGGACAGGGCACACGTTCTCCTCCACTTTGGCGTACTCTCGGCTTGGATTGTTTGACAATCATGAGTGGATCGGGAGTAACTGCAGGTGGGGGTTTTGCAACTGGTGGTTGAGTTGCCACAGCTTGAACTTGAACCTGAAGATTACCATACTGAGCCTGAACTTGCTGATTGAACTGCCGTGCAATATCAGGACTGCCTAGCTCCACTTGTACTGCAGGGCCACTTGTAGTTATAAGCTGACCAACTGTGTCGGGACTGTAATTATACCAGGCTACACCTGTTACCCCTGCTACCCCTGTTACAGAGCCAACACTAGCTACACCACTCACAGCATTAAGAGTCTGCACTCCAGTCACATTTGTAACTCCAGTTACGCCAGGCACGGTGCCTACACCTGTTACATGTGTTGCACCTGTTACTCCAGACGTTACAATGTGTTCCATGTTGCCTCCTGCACTTTCTGCTACCAAGCAAGTTGCTGGCATGAGTTGCTGCTACCCTCCTCTAAGTGACCTCAGACCTTCAACATGATTACCTGAAAAATAGAATAATCATTTTAGTTTATCAAAATGAATTACCAGAAAATATACACTTCTATATTTTTTGCCATAAGATTGTACAGTATCACTTATACAATAGTACTTAATATGCAAATAACCTGCACATAAGAGTTGGAAACTTATGACGATGTATTGGTCCGACTTGAGCCATTAACTAGACCATAAATTTTCCAAGTTGAGCCAAAACATTGACGTAAGTATTCTATGTGCTTGTTATTTATGTGTTGCTCTAGTCATGGTATTGTGCCTTTTTTATTCTTTATATTACTTAATGTTATGTGTATAATATACACACTACTACTGTACAGACAAGACATCTTCACTGACTTCAGCTTCCTCACTGCCGCATTCAAAAGGCCTCATACCTCACACCAATGCAAAAACATTGGCAGTGCTATGCTCTCTGATACACTCTCCTATTTTATTCAATTACAATGTGTCTCTTTCCACATTCTTTCTCAAGTCTATTCTGTGATTCATCTTATCTTTTTTGGCACATCTGCTGACATATTCCCTCTCAAATATCCATATGTATTGTATACTCACTTCCTCCATGTCTTCCTACCAATCTGATATCCAATCTTCCACTAGTTCAACTTCTTACTCATGCCACTTTGATTCTTTTTTCCATTCCTTTTGCTCACCATTCTGAACTCCAACTTTCTTCTGAATCTCATAAAAGTAATATGCCATCAACACAATGCCACTGTTACACTTCCTAATGTATATTGGCTTCATTAACTTTAGTGCTCAACTTTTCTCTAGTACTCTAGCATTCACTTCTTTACATCTTCATCTATCAATAAAATAAATGACCATGGTAACATCACAAATCCTAGTCTACGTCTTACTTTTACTGGAGGATATTTCTCTTCTCTCTTACATATCCTAGTCCAAGCCTCACTCTCATAAAAATCCTTAACAGCTTTACTGTCTATTCCATACATTGGCATCACCAGCCACATTGATGCCCTAATCACCCTATCATACACCATTTCAACATCCATATATAAAATATCACCTTAATTAATATCAAAGTACATAGGAACCTTGGTTTTTGTATGCCCTGGTTTTCGTAGGATTCAGTTTTTGATGACTTTTTTGTTGAAATTTTGTCCCAGTTTTTGTACATCCGCTTGTTTTTCGTAGAGTTGACAATGCTCTGCCGTACCAAACATGTCCGCCTGCCCGTCCCCACACAAAGCATCCCACGTGTTCTGACTCAGTCTAGCTTTGTTTCTCGTTGAATGCAAAGTGGAATGAGTTGCAAAATTTCGTGGAGAAATATCATCCTAACAAAGCTGTTGCAAGCTGTGTCTGCAACATGTTCAATGACAATGCCTTGTCCCATTTTAGGCAAATCTCAAAGAGACGCCAGAAACAGACCTCTCTCGACAGATTTTTTTGTGCGACAGGGGTCCAGTGACTCTCAAGCTGGTCCTAGTGCCAATAATAAACAAAGCAGGGAAGTAACCCCAGATAGGGCCTTGATACCTGAAGTTCTTATGGAGGGGGATTCCCCTTCCAAACAATAACCTCTCTTCCTCCCTCTCCCCTCCCTGCTGTCTTCCATACACCAACAAGAGTCTTCAATACAGGTAAAAGTGATGTTAAATGTTCATTTATCCCTTTCATTAGTCATTTATATTTATTTCTCATTGTTTTCTGTATGTAAAACTATAGTTATTCTCTATAAAATGTATTTTTTGTCAGTATTTTTGGGTGTCTGGAACGGATTAATTGAATTTACATTATTTCTTATGGGAAATATTGCTTCAGTTTTAGTACAATTTGATTTTTGTCAGACTTTCTGGAATGAATTAATTATGAAAACTGAGGTTCCACTGTACCATACTTGGCACTTATATTCTTTAACACACAATTCCCACAGACCCTTCATTTCCAAAGTTTCCCCCTGTTGATTTGAAATCTTATGCTATGTAATTTACTTTGCACAGTATATGTACTATACATACTGTCAACACTCATTCCCAGTAGTTCTCATATTCTCTCATGATGACTCCTTATACAAAGGAACTACAGTGGAACCTCGATTTTTATTTGCCCTAGTTTTTGTTTAATTCAGTTTTTGACGACTTTTTTCGTCAAAATTTTGTCCCAGCTTTTGTTCATCACCTAGGTTTTTGTCGAGTTGACAGTAGTCTGCCGTGCCAAACGTCTCCGCTTGCACCCACACTAAACATCCCACGTGCTCTGAGTCAGTCTGGATTTGTTTCTCGTTGGTGGTAGTGGTGGTGGTAGAGGGTGGTAGTGATGGTGGGAGAGGGTGATTGTGATGGTGGTAGAGGGTGGTAGTGATTGTGGTAGTGATGGTTGTAGAGGGTGGTAGTGATGGTAGTAGAGATAACCTCTCCTCCCTCTCCCCTGCTCGCCATCTTCCATATGCCAACAAGAGTCTTCAATAAAGGTAAAAGTGATGTTAAATGTTCATTTATCTATATCATTAGTCCTTTATATTTATTTCTCATTGTTTTCTGTATGTAAAATTATAGTTTTCTCTATAAAATGTATTTTTTTGTTAATACGTACTTTGGGTGTCTGGAACGGATTAATTGGATTTACATTATTTATGGGAAATACTGCTTCAGTTTTTGTCGAATTTGGTTTACGTCAGACTTTCTGGAATGAATTAATGACGAAAACCAAGGTTCCACTGTATACATATTCTTTGCCAGTTCTAAGCTATCTTCCCATCTTTCATATATTAAAACAAATATGCAGCATATCCCCCCCTGCAACCCCTGATTTCAACATTTAGTCTTCTTGTTTTTTTGTTCCCTTTTTAACCTGCTTATTGTACAGCCTCACCAACCTTTTCCCATGCTCATTTTTTTACTCTTCCTCCTAACAAAGCTTATTTCTCCATACCCCGTGCATAAAATTCTTGCCTCCATTTCAGTGTCAACATTTAACAATGACAAAAGAAAAATTCTCTCTCTCCAATACTTCCATCTCCATCTCACCATGACACTCAGTAGTTACTACCAAGTCAACAATGTCACCTATTTTCACACCATCGATACTAAGGACAGAAGCTTGGTCAGAAGCTTGAGCCCAGAAGTGGGGCTAGTAGCAAACAAGTATTTCAAGAAGTACATTTAGGTGTACATATAATGTGATGTGAATGTTTCCTTGCTTTCTTGAACTCTAGATAGTGATCAGCAGTACATTTTATTATACCTGTAACAATCTCATGCAGCAAGCAATAGCAGAATAGCTCAAGCACAACCGTTGGACCAAGAAGTTATGGGTTTATAAGAATATTTTCCCAGGACCCATGGAATAGAGACTCAAGCAGGCAAGTAGAGAGAAGTGAGAAAATGATACTGTATAATTCATCAACACTTACATTATACAAGAATACATATGTTGCAGGGACACAGCCAAAAACAGAGTCTTGACTTCCAAAAGACATATAATGAAGATACAAGGAGAACCTACAAAATCAACAGCTGAAGCTCTCACCAGTTATTTTATTTTTTATCACACTGGCCCAGGAAACATTAACCATAATTCAATCAATGGCCGTCTTACTAAAAATGCACGAACATCACAATTTTAATTACTGTATGAACTGTAACATCTCCATCCTTTCTTCAGGCACTGTACTTCCACCTAAATTCTTTTATAAACACTATTTTGCTCATCCTGTAGCTTGACTGCTAGCACACTCGGCCCACATGCTGTCCAGGGGGTTGATCCCCAGTATGGTTGGAAACATTAGGAAGTGTTTCCTTAAGATACCTGCTGTCCAATGTTCATCTATCAGTAAAATGAGTACCTGAATGTTAGTCAACTGATGTGGGTCGCATCCTGGGGACAAAACTGACCTAATTTGCCCAAAATGCTCTGCATAACAAAGGGCTTTCTATATAGTAGTATGTCATTGATGTCAGTTAAACCTGTATACCTTGTACATGTACTTGTAGAAATAAAGATTATTATTATTACAGCCTCTCCTCAATTGACGACGGAGTTCTGTTCCTAAGACCACATCATTAAATGAATTCGTCGCTAAGTGAGGAGCATACGTACTATAATGGTAGTGAGTTTTTGTCGACCATCTTTGATATTGTTTTAATGTCACCTTTGCACCATTTATAACATTTCTGGTATATTTTTAAATGTTTATACAGTAGTGTACTGTATACTGAAATAAACAGAATAGAGGAACTCAGCTCTAATATACATTATTTAGGTATGAATACTGGACAGAGAGCCTGTCGTAAGTCCAAGGCATCAGTAAACGAGTACATCACTAAGTGAGGAGAGGCTGTATTATACTCCAACAGCATGTCAAATCCTAAAAACCACTCACTTCTATTCGTTCTGATCTAACCCTCATGCACACCTGCTGGATACTCAAAACTCCCTACCACTTAAGACCTAATTCACATCCTCCCTCCAACCCTTCCTGGAAGGACTCCCTACCCCTTCTCCTCTATCATCTTAAACTTCATTGGATGACACAAACTTAACCCCTTCAGGGTCCAAGGCCCAAATCTGAAGTGGTGCCCCAGTGTCCAAGAATTTAAAAAAAAAAAATTGTTATTTTTTCTTATGAAATGGTAGAGAATCTTTTTGTGAATGCTCTCGTGAATTTTGATGTGTCAGCGATATTTACGAATCGGCGTTTTTGCCGACTTTGACTCCCATTTTAGGCCAATTACATCATTCCAGTCAACCAAATTCTTAGCTATTTCACTAGTATTACTTCTATTCTATCGAGTGAGCACAAGAAATCGCCAAGTCAACTGTTTCAACTACAAATTAAAGTGATCGGAAATTGTTAATTTGGCAAATTTAACACAAAGTTCAAAATATTCCAATTTCAAAATAGGGTCCAGAATAAACAATGTAGGTATTCCTGGAACTAAACTAACATATCCTCTGTTCATTAGTTATGTTTTGAGGCTTTACAAATAAATTCCATTTTGATTTTTTATTCACATAA